GCAGCCGGGCCCGGGCGTGTCGCTCGTCAGGCTTAGCCTTAGGTCGGGCATGTCCTCCTACAGGGGGATTTTGGAGGAAGAACTAAGAATAGTCCAGATACTCAAAAAAACAACCAACATAAAAACGTCCCCAGACTATCTCTTACTATGTTTGAAGATTCCTCCTTTAGAGGGACAGGCCCGACTTCTCAAGCTTAGGCTGGGCCATCAGACCCGAGCGTGCCACCTGGTAGCTCGCATCGGGCAAACCAGCGGGCAACCCGGCAACCGAGCATAGGCGACGCGCGCCTGAAACACAAGGCGAGGAAGGGGCTGTCTTTCCCGGAAGGCTCGACAGTCCCCGGGCCTTCTGAGAAGTTGTCTAACCTTAGGTCGGGCGTGTCCTCGTACAGGCGGATCCGGAGGAAAAATAAGAGATAGTCAAAATATACTCAAAACATAACACAAGATACTCAAAAAGCCGTCCCCAGAGTATGTTTTGACTATTTTTGGAAATTCCTCCTGTAGAGGGACATGCCCGACTTAATTCTAAGCCCTCCCCAGAGATGCACACAAAAAAAGCTCATCAAAAGGCGCGAGGGCTTCCGAGAAGTCCCGCCGCCTTCATGACTCGGGTCTTCGGCGGCCGCCCGGGACGATCCGGGCACCCCCCCGAACGCTCTCGGCGAGGCGCAGCCGCTGCAACGCATCCCGAGGGCGGCAAACCGCCGAGAAATTACGAAAACGCCCGAAGACTTAGAAGCTCGAGGCTCGAACCTCGAAGCTCCCCCCCCCTCGCTCGCCGTTGAGAGCAGCCCAGAACAACCCCCGGGAAGCGAGGGGCCACTGGGCTGCGGAGCCACCCGGGGGGAGCGCCGAGGCCCAGCCTCCCCTGACACGCCGTCGCGCCCGCGGGAAGCCCGCGGGAAGGCCTCGGAGGGCCCCACGACGGCCCAGGATCGCGCCAAGGCAGGGATCGGCCCAAGCAGTGCTTTTCGTTTTCGTCTTGTTGTCGTTTCCCTCGTGTTGTCTCCAATCCGCCTAGGCTGCAAAACGAAGCCGAAGCAAAAACGGCCCACGAAGTGGCCCAATCACCATTCAGGTCGACCCCTGCTATGAGACGGCCCAACCGCAAAAGCACTCCAAGAGGTCACCTGCGAAGGCTTCAGGTTTTTCGATGGTTCTCAAGCTTTTGCCTTTTTCGGGCGTCCGTCGGTTCAAGACGGCGCCAAAGGCCTTCAAGATAGCACCACAACGGCCCCAGAGCGCCCCAAACTGATACAGGAGGCCTCCAAGACCCCCAAGATCGCCCCAAGCCAGCGCAAGAGGTTCGCTGGATGGCCCAACAACGGTCCAAGAAGCCTCCCAATAGTGCTCCAAAGGCCCCGACGAGGGCCCCGTGAGGGGGAATCCAGGCTGCCCCGAGAGGCCTCAGGAGGTATCGACAGTGTCGCCAAGAAAGCTCCGAGACGCCTCCCAACAGACGCCAAAAAGCCTCTGGAAGAGCAGTCTTGTCCACGACCCTGTATGGCCCCGAGAATACCCCAAGGAGCAATCGAGATGCCTGCTCCTCCTCCTCCTCCCCCTCCACCTCCTCCGCCTTCTTCTCCTCCTCCTAGCTCGACACGAGCACACCAGCAGAAAACAACAGTGAAGCAACAAGCGCTGGCGGAATGAGCGAAGCGATCAAATACGAACCCCTCAGGGACAGCCTAATTGGGCAAAATGCTCTCGGATTCAGCACCGACGCGACTTTGCAGCCTCCTCCTGCCCACTCTAGAACGCCAACACCGCCCATCGATTGGCCCAGGGGTGCTTGTCGTGATGTGACGCGGATCGTACTTCTTCAAGGGAACACGAGACCGCTGTGCCTCCCAACCCAAGAACAACACAAAACAACAGCACGCATGAGCCAGGATGTTTGAAGAGGTGCTTTCGTTTGTTCACATAGCGGGGGTGGAAACCATTAGGACAATGTGTTAAAGTTCCCAAGGAGGAAGCACTGAAAGGGGCGAATATCACAGCAGCCGAGCACCGCCGACGGCGCCGAACGACTTCAAGTTCTCGGACGCCTCGAAGTCCATGCCTCCAGCGGCATAAACGTCATTGAGGCTCTGGAACATCGTGGAGCCGAGGCCGCCGTCGTAGGCCTCGCCCTCCCCCCGCAACACCGTGCCCAGCGGCACGACGCATCGCAGGGCCAGCTACTACTTCAAAACAACTTGTTAATGTTTGATTGGCACTCGAAGCCGCCATCGTGCCGCAGGTACTCAGTCGAGCGTGCTCAAGTCCTTTTCGAAATCTCTGCATCGACTTGTGCAAAAGACTTACAGTCCGTACAGCACATTCCCGGGACTCGTTGGCGCCCTCGGGTGCTCCTTGGAATCGCCGCGTGACTTGATCGGAGGCCTCGAGAGCGTGGTTTGGAACCCATCCTTCCAGCATGGCTTCAGGTCGTCCCCTCTTCGGCCGTCTCGTCCTGGGACCCAGCCCAAGAGAAAAAAACATTGAACATCCGAACCTTGCTGTGCGAGGAGGAGCACGATCGGGGCTCAGACACGTGCCAGACACCATAAAAAATACTCTGTTGCTGATTGACCGATCGCACCCGCACCGTTCGCACGCCGGGGAACGAAGAGAGGGTGTGGCTGGGCAAGACATCGGGATGGAGGCAGAGGTTAAGGATTTGTCCCTGGGCCACTCGCTCTCTCTCTCTCTCTCTCTCCCTCCCTCTACCTATCTCTCTGTCTCTCTCTATCTCTCTCTCCCTCTCCCTCTCCCTCTCACTCGTCCCCTTCTCTCTCTCTCTCTATGGATTCATCTCTCTATCTCTTTCTCGCTTCCTCTCGTTATCCCAGTTTCTCTTTCTCTCGTTCTCTCTCTCTCTCTCTCTCTCCTCCTTCCACTACGTATCCCCCAACTCCTTTTCGTTTTGTTCTCAATGTGACCAAACGAAATAAAAACATGGGCAGGGACGATTCAACCAAATAGTTGTTTCTCATCTTGGTCGCTGGCTGCGGCCTGCCAGCATCGACAGCGACGACGCGACGACGACGACGACGACGATGACGATCGTCCACTTCTCAGCGGGGCGCTGTGATCCCCTTCCCAGACACTTCTCCATCACCTGGTCGCATCATCCACATTCCTGATCCATCTACTCTGCCAATGCTTCCTTCCCCCACCTGCATCATGCCCACGTTCTCGGGGTCCAGGGTCATGTTCCACTGGTGGTCAGAGCCCCACAGCCTTCTCTGCAACTTCGGACGCGTCAAGTGCCCGACTCATCATAGGCGCTAGACTTTCACATGGTCAAACTGGGCCGTCATGCGATGGGGGGATCGAACCGCCATCAGTCAGCATCCAGGCATCGGGGGAGCATCAAACATATCAACGACACGTCGCCGTGAGCAAGTCGGCAGCGTGTTACTGCTGAAGTGGCTCGAACAGCCACGGAGGGGCAGCACGCTGGCGGGCTCCCCATGGCGGCCCGTCGTTTGTGTCAGGTCTGCCTGGTGAAGGCAGCTTGCCCCGAAGGATGCAGGCTGGGGCCCTGGACGCCCCGCCTCCTGACGCGATCATGCACTCTGTCCGTCCGATGGGGCGTCTGTGGGAGCGGTCTCCCAAAGGGGGCGGTGGACGATGATCGTGATGCCACGCTCAGTCACATCGCCAAGGCAGGTGGAGAAACCGACTGCCTTGAAGGCAGGCGGCCTACAAGAGACAGAACGTCTTGCTACGCTACACGAGCATCATAGTCCGCCTGCTACTCGGCAAACGCTTTGGACAACGATGCAAGTGCGCCGCCATGCCGCGAGGCACATCAGGAGAGGAGTGGCTGAGTGCCTTGAGGTTCCGCTCGAGCTCCCTGTGCAACTATTTCAAACACCTTGCAAGGGCCGCAGACACTGGACTCCAGGAATACTGGGCGCTCCTGGGTGCTCTCTCGGGCGATCCAGGGACCGTGCCGCACGACTGTCTGGAGACCCCAGCACGCGGCTGAGAGTCCAAACATCTGCCTTGCCTTGCGATGGTCCCAAAGGCCCGTCCTTCGGCACTCTGGGGAATCTCTTGGGCCGTGCAAGAGAGCCTGGGGGCTGGCCAAAAAGGCCAGACGATTCAACAATCCGTGCGCACAGTTGTTTTCGAATGAATCTCGTAAGCTAGCCTTTTCGGCTGTAGCAGAATCCCCAAGAAGGGAGAACTGGAAGTACCATGAGGAGCCCTCCACCCCAAAAGGGATCCCGAGACAGCCAGGACCCCCCGCGCCCCCAAAAGAGGAGCCTAGAAGGCTCCAAAAGAAGCCCAGGAAGGGGAGCTCGAACTCCCAGCAGGAGCCTTCCACCTCAAGAGGGGCCCCGAGACAGCCAGCAGGCCCCAAGGGGCCCTTAAGAAAGCCCCGCGAGGCCAACGAGGCCGTCAGGAGGCCCCAAGAGCCTCCCAATCGGCCGACGAGAGGCGCCAAGCAGGCCTCCGTGAGAACCCAAAGAGCCCCCCCCCCAAGAGGCCCTAGGAGGCATCCAAAAGGCCTCTGGTCAAAGACCCAGGCATGGTAGCGGGTGGGCCGAGAGCCACTAAATGCAATCAGTCGGTATACAGTGGGAGCCAGTCCACAAGAATCCTTCCACAAGAAACCCAACCCTGGAACCCCAGGACGTCCATTGATGTTTGGCGTGGGAACGTCGCGCTCTCCATGGCCAAACCATCGAAACCCAAGGAGCCCAGGGCACCCTGGAGGCAAGCAGGGTGTTTCTTGACAGGGGCCCCCACTGCAGATGCAACCAGTCGGCATACCAAGGAAGCCAGAGAGGAAGACACGGTCCCGGCGTCCAACGCTCGAAGGCCCGAGCCGGCGAGCAAATGGCAGCCAGAGGGTTGACACTTCTGTCTGCCCTGTCAGCGCGAGCGGTGGAACAATAGTAATGGTGGAGCGCACGTGCTTGGGTGCGCGGGTGGCGCGCGCTGCCGACGAGTTGCTTATGGAAATCCTTCGATCCGCCGACCCCCGCTTGCCAGGGGTGAGAGGGCGTGCGAGATGCTTGGCTGTCGCCTATCCCGAGTTTCCCCTCCCCTACAGTAGGGGATCGACCACAAGAAACGTTCCACAAGAAACCCAACCCTGAGGCCCCAGGACGTCCCTTGATGTTTGGTGTGGGAACGTCACGCTTTCCATCGCAAAATCATCGAAACCCAAGAAACCCAGGGCACCCTGGAGGCAAGCAGGGTGTTTCTTGGCATGAGCTTCCAGAGTAGGGGGGGGACTGGCTCAGGAGGTGAACGTCGGTCTGGACTTGGCGATACATCGCCCATAGATCGGCGGTTGGCCCTCGGTAGTTACACCACAGTGTCAGGGGCGAGGTGGGCTATTGGGCCTCCATCGGCGATCGATGGGCAATTGGGGGTCGATGCATCCCCCTCATGATCCCATCACCCCCTAACCTTGCCCCATCATTAGGGCGTCCACACAGGTAACAAGCGAAAGATCTCTTCCTGAGCAAGGCCTCATCGGACCCCCCTTTGTTGCATGCCCAGGGCCTGCGCAGGCTTGCCGGCACCGCGGACTCGCGCAGGCGGGTGATCTCGCCTAGCCGGGGGATCAACCTGGACACGATCCTCCGACCCCGACACCGGGGTGGCTTCCTGCCAGGCAGTTCCTCCTCGTCCTCCTCCTCCTCCTCCTCCTCCTCCTCCTCTTCCTCCTCCTCCTGACTGGCCGACTATCCCACAGACGGCGAACACGACCCTGAGCAGCAGCTCTGAGTGCCCCCAGAATCGGGTTGGCGCCTGTGCTGAAGCACACCGCACGCTACCAGCACCAGAAGCGAGGCTGAGGGGTCCCCACGGAGTCGCCCCCGCGCCCCATGAAACAAAGCATGGTCTCAAGGGCGGAGTCCATCGTTCGGTAAAAGACGTGTGGGTGGGGGTTAGGGACTCAGAGGTGGGCTTAGAGGAACATCGCTGGTGGCATGGCCACGGTCCTGCCCCAGACATGGGAGGAGAAAACGCTCAGCGCCTCTCTCACGGGGACTCCACTGACAGGCACTTTGGCCAGTGACCCGGCGAACCCAACGCTCCCCGATTGGGGCAACGCCGCAATGCCAGAAAGAGGCCCCAGTGTGTCAACTGTCGGCAGATATCCAAAGTGCCCGTCGGTGAGTACCTGCTGCGGTGCCGCTGCCACGCGGTGAGTTGGGAGCAGCCAGATGCTGCCGCACCCGTCGCCAACCGCCCTGCGGGAGAGAAGCGACGGTACCCCGCAAGGCGCGCCGCGCGCCGCACGGGGGCTGTAAAAACATAAGGAAATTAAGGCCCCGGGCCTTCCATGTGCCGCCGAGGTCCCTGGGCGGGACCCCTCGGCCACGTCCCCTGGGGCTCTGGTGGCTCCTCCTCCTCCTCCTCCTCCTCCTCCTCCTCCTCCTCACCGGGGTAGGGGGGTCGTGTGCTGGGCGGCCAGGGGGCGGCGGCCTAACTGGATGACGCGGGACAGGTGCTCCCTGTCCGTGGACACGCTCTCCCGGACGGCCTGACCCACCTGGAGGGAAGGGATGGAGGGGGTCGGAGGGGAGAGGGAGGGGCACGTGAGGTGCGCTCGCGTCATATCTGACGTCCTACCCCTCCCTTCCATCCCTTACCACGGCGTAGAGTTCCTCTAGATTCGCACAATCGGATGTCGCAGCATGGCATAGCATTACATGGCATAGTATGGTGTCAAAGACCAACGCGTGGCATGACATAGCATGGCGTGGCGACGCCCAAAAGTGGTGGGGCTTCTGCGGCTCCAGAATCAACGAATCGACACCGAATGTGGAATCACTTCCGATGGTTCTTCGGGAGGCCATTTTCTAGATTGGGGGGCCTATTTTGGAGGACCGAAAACCATGCCGGGGCATGGCACTCGAAATAATGACGCCAGCGCTGCAGCGGGAGCACGATTCGGAACGAGCGCAAGCGCGGAAATGAGGCCAGCGCTGCAGCGGGAGCAAGATGAAGAATGAGCAGTAGCCCGAAAATGAGGCCAGCGCTTCAGAGAGAGCAGCATTTTGAAAAAAATGCAGCGCGGAAGCCAGCGCTGCAGTTATATATACATATATATGTATACACACAAGAGAGAGAGAGAGAGAGCAAAAAACGATAACGAGAGAGAGAGAGAAAACAAAAAAAAAAAAAAAAAAAAACGCGTAGCCTGACATAACGTGGCATGGCGACGCCCCAAAATGGGGGGGTGGCTTCCGCGGGCCAAAAAATCAACGAATCGACACCGAATGTGGAATCACTTCCAATGGTTTTCTTCGGGAGGCCATTTTCTAGATTTTGGGGCCTATTTGGAAGGACCGAAAACCATGCCGTGGTATGGCGCTGAAAAAACACTGCCAGCGCTGCAGCGGGAGCATGATTCGGAACGAGCGGTAGCCCGAAAATGGGGCCAGCGATTCAGCGAGAGCAGCATTTTGGAAGAACAAACAACAACAAACAAAAAAACGGGAATCCGATGTAGAAAACCAGTACGCTGAGGGGGGCCGGACATATTATGTAATTGTAGAGGGGGGTAGGAGGAGGGAGGGGGGAGGGGAGGAGGGACGAGGAGGAGGGGGGAGGGAGAGTACTGGGAGGGGAGAGGAGAGGAGAGAGGAGAGGAGAGGAGACGAGAGGAGGGGAGAGGGGGAAGGGGGGAGGACGTGGCCAGCCCACCTGGGGAGGGGAGAGCAGGAGGCAGGGAGGGAGGGAGGGAGGGAGGGCGGGCGGCGCGCCGGGGAGGGACGCGAGAGGGGGCCGGCCTTCTCGGAGGGCGGGGCGAGGCATCTCCGAAGCCCTCCGGCCTTTTCCGGGCAGCCCCCCTCTGCGGTCAGGTCGGGCATGCCCTCCTGCAAGGGGGATTTTGCACGAGCAAAGAAGTAGCCGATCGAAACATCGTCCCCAAACTATTTTTCCCTAGGCGGTGATTCTCCTTCTGTAGAGGGACAGGCCCGACTTCACTCTGCGGCCCCGGAGCGCAGGCCTCGAGAAAGGAGTGCTCGCAGGCCAGAGGCCCTCCTCCGAGCCTTCCGAGAGAAGGCCCGCCCCCTCCTCTGCCTTCCCCCCAACCTGGGCGCGCCGCCGAATGGGGAGGGAAGAGAGAACGCTGACCTTCCACGAAGGCCAAAAAAAATAGCAGCAGGGCCTTGGCGTGTCATTTCCCGTCGAGGTGTTGGGCAGTCCAGACGGGTCCACAGGTCTGGAGGGCCACATCTTAGCACTCTTGCCAAGGTCGGGGGCAGGATGGGGAGGGAGGGGAGGCTCAGGAGGCCACTGCTGGGAGGCCTTCGTCGGAAGGACGAGGGAGAGTCAAGCCCCCCTGGGGGGGCTGCTGCGCCGGATCAGGCCGCGGACGAAGCGGGATGGAGCCGGATTGAACGGGATGAGGCCGGAGTGAGCGGGATCGAGGGATGCAGCCGGAGTTCGGACCAGGGCAGAGTCAGAATTTTGCCTCCCAGGAGGTGCACCCGAAGGAGGCAGGATGGAGGGCGGGTCAACCGAGCGCGCCCTTTCACAGCCCAATCTTCATCAGGGTGCCATGGTCAGGGCAGGAGGCGGAAAAGGCGTCGGACCCCCCGGGCTGCCGCGCAAGAGGCCCAGGGGCGAGGTGCGGCGCACAGAGCGCAGGACAGGCGAGGGAGCGTGGGCGAAGGATACGGTCGGACGCAGGCCAAAAGAACATCTTTCAAGGACTTGCGACCGTCCGTCGGCCAAAACAAACAAAACATCCAAGGGCACCCTCACCGGGACGCACAAGAACATCCAACAAACATGAAGAACACTAGGGTACCCTCCCCGAACCGACCTCGATCTTATACCTCTGTCCGACTCTGGGCCATTTCGGCTTCAGCTCAGGGTGAACAGTTCACTCTGGTCCTGAGGCAGTCGAGGAAGAATCGAGAGTGCCGATTCACCTCACTCCGACGCCCCCTCACCTTCGAATCCCGCCTCTGCACCGCATCCTCTGGCACCTGCCCCCCTCTGCGAGCTGAGCGAGGAGCTGAGCTCGAGGGAGTCTCTGAGCGTGAGAACGACCACGCCGAGCGCAGCCCCGAGCGCCAGGCCCCCTCTCTGCCACCACTCGTGGTGTCCTGCGGCGCCCAGGTGGCGCTCGCGACGGCGCACGGCAGCAGCAGGGGACCGGCCACGAGGCGAGCAACACCGCCGGCGGCAGCCCCACGGTCTCTGGCCGCGCACGGGCGAGGCGCAGCGCCACCCGGAAGCTCTCCCCCCTCGGGGTGCTGAAAGCCCGCACCTCGCTCCAGACGGGCCCCACGATCTGCTCGGCGAGCAGAGGAGGCCCGACCACGACCAGGGCCTGAACCGCGCACGGGCGGGTGCGACGCCCCCTGGCGGCTCCCCCTTGGGGTCCCAAGACAAGTGCCTCGCTCGAGGCGTCCTCAAGATCTGCTCTGAAACCAGAGGAGTTAGCCGCGAAGCGAGCAACCCGCCTGAGACAGCCCCGTGACCAAACAAGCGCCTCGCTCGAGACCTCCTCACGATCTGCTCTGAAAGCAAAGGAGCCCCCGCCACGAAGCAAGCGAACCGCCAGAGACATCCCCACAATCTGGCCACCAACAATATCCACGCACTTGCGGTCGCACCGCTACAGTCGGCCCGTATCATACGGATGCGCGATAAGGATTCATGGGCCTTGGACGCCCATTTAGAACCTTCTCGAGACGCGGCGAGGCCAACGCGTGTGGCCAAGGATGGTCCGAGGAGGCACAGATGCGGGGGTACCCCTGGGAAGGTTGGCCATCCTTACCGTGCGGGCTGACTGTGTTCACGCCCTTGCGGTCGCATGGCTGCGTTCCGCCGGGATCAGCGCACAACAGGCCCCGTATCAGTGGGGCCCGCGGCCTCGCGGGACCCCGCCCCGCGAGGCCGCTCTCGAACGCCCTCGCGCTTTCGGGGGGATGCTCCGCGCGCCTCTTCCCGAGCCCCCGGACTGACACGCCCGATAGGGGCACGGGAAACATGGGCACGGTGCCCGACTGCGCCAAACAACAACGTTCCACCACTTGCAAAGTAACTAGTCGCAAATGGTCTGGATCCGACATGGGGGATTTACGACACATTACATCGATGCAGTCATGTGTTTTTCGGACGTTTGCGAGTAGGCGCTTTGCGAGTAGTGGAAAACGCGCTCGGTGAAGTACGTGCTCGGGCGTCCCAACGGGTGCGGTGACAGACCGTGCGGTGACCTCCAGATCCCAGAAAAAACCTCACCGCACGGTCCGTCACCACGCGGTCTTGGGATCCTGGACGCCACAGTCGCCCGAGACATCCTCGGAGATCGGCCCGAGTCCCAAAACCGTGCGGTCACCCAGAATCCCGCGGTGTGGTCACCGCACCACTTGCGCCCCCCAAAATGTTGTATCCCAAAACGCCCGTGGCCGCTGTTGGGCAGGCGCCCTTCTGTCTTAAACGGACAACTGACTACCTACCTACAAGACCACCCCAACACAACCCGAAGACCCAAATTTCCAGTTGGGGGGTACAGTTTCCACACGTGTTTTGCTCGATGTTCCCCGACGCCCCCCCTCTGGTAATGGAGGGCAAATGGGGGCCTTCGGGTTGAGTTGGGGGGGGTCGGCGGGTGGTTAACAACGTGCGCAACAGCACTGACAACCAAACCTGAGCAAAATAACCAAGAACTCTGGACTTTCCCGTTCCTAGTCCCCTTCTTGGGCCCCTCTTGGGGCCGTTTTGGGGCACTCTTGGGCCGTCTTGGGCGCCTCTTGGGCCGTCTTGGGCGCCTCTTGGGCCGTCTGGGGACGATGTTGGAGGCCTCTGCGACAATTCTGGACTCTGTAAACCCCCAGCGCCATACGATTTCTGCTTGTTGCTGGTCTTCGTCCCCATTCCTTCCGTACCCGTTCTGGTCGCACCGATCGAGAGAGCGTGCTCCAGAGTCCCAAACCCCCGTCCGGGGCTCCTCTCAGGCCCCCCGAGAGGTCCCAAGGGAGGAGCCCTCTTGCCCACGACAGGGGCACGGTGGAGGGATGGGCCAAAGTTAGTATGCACTTGCGGGGCCACCAAGCTACGAGAAACATGTAAAACTAGTGAGTCCGCAGCCAAGATATAAATGACAGGCTGGCGCAGAAGCTTAACCATTACAAGAACACTCGATATCATCAGCACAAAACATCCGACTTACGGAACTGATGATGTCAGGCTGCAGATGCCGCATGTAAACGAACGTGTGATCCCCATCTGGTGCAGAGGCGCACATGCCGCATGCCCGTCAGTCCCAGGCAATGTGTCCTCTGCATGCGGGCGTCAACGGACCCAGCATCTTTGCATCATTGCTGAGAGAGTCACGACCCCCGCTCCCAGGGCCACGGCCCCCTTGTAAGACACAAGGGTTCTTGCTCTCAGGGGGCAATAGCTACGATCCCTGGCGAGACATGATGGGCCATCGCTCTGAGGGTCACGATCACCCACCTTTTGGCAGAAGTGGGTAGCAGCACGACGTAAGAAAAGGGTTGAACATGCACTGTGCTTCTGCCCGCTCCCCTGAGAGAGGGAAGCGGGAAAACCGTTCTGCTCTTGAGATGGGAAAACGCCTAGAATAGATTGGAATACGGGAATCCTGGCATGCCTACTTTCAACCAGCGATGGGTACGTGGTGCCCGTGCGCTGGCCGCTTCGGTCCCAAGGGTTCAAGACACCGTCAGACCTGACAAAACACAGCCCAAGAAGAAACACGGGAGAGACCCTGCGAGCCGCTCCCCCCCCATACTAGATAAGCCCCAGAATCGCAAACAGGTCCCCAAGACGCCTCGAAGAGGCCCCTAAGAGGCCCCAGGAAACACCAGGAGGCCCCGAGGAACCTGGGAATTCAAAAGTATTCACAGTGGAGGCCCGACCACAAGAAAGCTTCCACAAGAAACCCAACCCTGAGACCCCAGGACGTCCATGGATTTTTGGTGTGGGAACGTCACGCTTCCCATTGCAAAACCCTCGAAACTCAAGAAACCCAGGGCACCCTGGAGGCAAGCAGAGTGTTTCTTGGCATGGGCCCCCACTGTATTGTGAGTGCGAAAGCAATGAGGAGGACCGCCAGAGCGGACGGAGCAGGAGAAGCGGGAGGACAGGCAGGAGAGGTGAAGGATGAGGGGGAAAGGAACAACATGGCGACTAACAACAGGATGACGAGGAGGCTGGAGGAAGCGACGGGGGAGCAGGAGGAGGGAAAGCAGGAAGGGAGAAGAGGGAGTAAGAGAGGGAGGGAGAGGAGGAGGAGGAGGAGGAGGAGGAGGAGGAGGAGGAGGAGGAGGAGGAGGAGGACCAGTGCAAACCCAAGAGGTCCCTCCTCGTGGGCCTCTACACGGATTCATGTTCACAGAGGGAAGTGCCACATTGGAAGACAACCGTTTGAGCATCCAAAACTGTGCCAGAACGCTATTCCTGGGGCATCCACGCGGCGAACCACCGTTACGTTGCGTCTTGACGATCCTGAACCATGCAGGAATCTCATTCCTGGGACTTCAGCACCGCGG